ATTTTAAATTAAGAAATAAAAATAAAATATATTTCAAAAAATGGATCAGGGGCCAGGCACAGTGGCACACACCTTTAATTGCAGCACTCTGGAGGCTGACAGGTGGATCTCTGTGAGACTGAGGCCAGCCTGGTTTTACATAGCAAGTTCCAGGCTAGCTAGGACTATAAGGAGACCTTGTCTCAAAAAAAAAAAAAAAATCCTTAGTGAACACAGAGCAAATACTTAATGATTTCTTGGATATGATACCAAAGGGATATGCAAGAAAGAAGAATAAAGAGACAAATCAGAATTCGATTTAGTGAGATCCTGTCTCAAAATAAAATGCAAAAGGACTGGGTATGCAGCTCAGTGGCTGGATGCATGGTGCTGTGTTCAATCTCTGGCACCACAAAGGGGGGCAGGAGAAGAGAATTTAGCAATTTTGTACCTGTATTAATAATAGTTGAAATGTGGACACAATCCCCAGCTGTCCATCAACAGATAAATAGATAAGCAAGATGTGGCTATAGACATACAGCAGAATATTATTTGTTCTCAAAGGAAGGAAACTTTTAACACCTGCTACAACCTAGATGAATCTTGAGTTAAGAACCTGATTCTAAGTGAAGTCCATCACCAAAAGAAAAATATCGTATAATTCCATTTATAATAAGATACTTAGAGCAGTGAAAATCATAAAGAAAATCGAATGGTGACTACTGGAGGGTAGGAGGGAAAGGTATTGTTTAATGGTATAGAGTTTTGACTTTTTTAAAAGTTGGGGGGGAGATTTATTTACTTTTTAATTTTATGTGCATGAGTGCAGTGCCTCTACATATGTAAATGCACCCATGTGTGCAATGCCTGCTGAGACCAGAGGAGGGTGTTGGATCCCCTGGAACTGGAGTTACAGACAGTTGTTAGCTGCCATGTGGGTGCTGGGACCCCCAGAGCACTGTGCCAGGTTCCAGCAGCTAATAATTAGTCGTTACAATAAAAACTACCATTTATTGGCTTTTTTTTTTTTTTTTTTTTTTTTTTTGAGACAAGTCTCACTGTGTTGGCCACAGGAAAGAGTTATTTTGGCTCACAGTTTCAGAGGTTTGAGCTTATGGTTGACTGAGTCCATTGTTTCTGGGCCTGTGGTGAAGCTGTATGTTATAGTGAAAGGCTGCTCACCTCATGGCAGCTAGGAAGCAGAGAGAGAGACAGAGAGACAGAAGGAAGGGTCTGGAGGCAAGATGTACACTTCAAAGGCAGTGAGTCATTTCCTCTAACTTTATCCTACCTCATAACAGCTCGTTTAGCTATGAGCTCATCAAAGAAGTAATCCATACATGAAGTTAGCACTCCTGGGAACAAAACCTCTAACAGCACTATCACTCTGGCCCAATCCTGCAACACATGAGCCCTCTGGGGGGACACTTCATATCTAAACCGTAACACCAGAGTTACTCCAGGAGCGCTAAGCAGGGCCTGTTCCTACTTGGACCCCTGTGAAGAAGGGGTAAGTAGAAGAGGAAAATGGGCTTTGACATCAGGCATGGAGGTCTCAGGTCAGTGAGTTCATGGCCTGGTCAAGGTGCTAGGCTCTCAGTGTATTCCAAGCCCTCTTTTAGCAACTTTCTCTCAAGGTCCCCAACTCCTCAGTGGTCTCTCAGGGTCTTATACATTCCTGAAGGGCCAGCTGTTGGTTAATCACCTCTCACTCCCCATGTCTATCTTGAGGTTTATGATTAACAGAAGATACCAGAACCTGGGAACAGGGCAGAAAACAAGTCCCCAAGTTGTCACTGTCTATGGTGGGCATGTGTCAGAAAGATGGTTTCCCTTAGCACATCTTCAAAGTATAACACTCTATGGCTCCCCACTTATGAGGACCCTTGAAGAACTCTAGAGGGGGCTGGGGAAAGGCAGGAGGATGGAAAACATGAAGAGGAAGGAAACTGAAGCGTAAGATAGAGAGAGTAGATCTAACAGTTCCCCCAGGTGTGACCACAAGGCCATGACATTTCACCAGCAGTGTGGAAACAACTACAAAGCCCCTGAATGAGAAGGGTCCTGGAGAAATAAGACACCCCAAATTGCAGTCACTTGGGAAAGGGTAGGGGAACTCAACTGGTCCGCGTGTCTCCAGCACACAGGCTCCTATATGCCAGATCAGATTTCCCAGAGGAACTAGGTAAACAGGATAAAGATGGCTCACAGAGAGCCTACCTTTAAATCCATGTCCTGAGGCTAGGAGGGACTATGGTCCAGATGCTTGAGGACACCAGTGACTGACCCAGTCAGAGCTAGAAAGAGGATTAAAATCCATATTAGGGTGAGGAGGAAGGTTGACAAGAGTGTGATGGGGGGTGAGTTGTATGTGTGTCACAGGTTGATATTAAGATGAAAGATCAGGCTTGGGTGATAGCTCAGTTGGTTAAGTACCGAGACCTGAGTTTGAGCCCTAAAACCCATGTTAAAAATATGTTGGATGGGGCTGGGGAGATGGCTCAGCAATTGAGAGCACTGACTGCTCTTGCAGAGGACCCGGGTTCGATTCCCAGCACCCACATGGCGGCTATGAACCATCTTTAACTCCAGTTCCAAGGGAATCCGAAACCCTCTTCGGACCTCCGCAGCATTGCACAACATGGGTGCTCTCACATACATGCAGGCAACACACTCATGCACATAAAATAAAAACAATAAAATAAAATATTTAAAAAAAATAAGCTGGGTATGGGAGATGGGGGAGATGGCTCAGCAGCTAAAGCACTTGCAGCTTTGCAGAGGAGCCAGGTTCTGTTCCCAGAACCCATACAGCAGCTTACAATCATCTGCAGCTCCACTTGTAGGGTATCTGATGCCCTTTTCTGACATCCATGGGCATCAGGCATGCACAAGGTGCACATACATACACATAAGATAATAAATAAATATTTTTTTAAAAGCTGGGGGGCTGGAGAGATGGCTCAGCAGCTAAGAACACTAGCTGTTCTTGCAGAAGACCCAGTTTCGAATCTCAGCACCCACATGGCAGCTAACAACTGTCCATAACTCCAGTTCCAGGGGATCTGACAGCCTCTTCTGTCTTCAGTGGGCATTGCACAACACGGGTGCACTTACCTACATGCAGGCAATACACACATACACATAAAATAAAAATAATAAATGGGGCTGGAGAGATGGCTCAGTGGTTAAGAGCACCGACTGCTCTTGCAGAGGACCGGGGTTCAATTCCCAGCACCCACATGGTGGCTATAAACCGTCCTTAACTCTGGTTCCAGGGGAATCTCAAGTCCTCTTCTGACCTTTGTGGCATTGCACGGGTGCACTCACATGCAGGCAATACACTCATACACATAAAATAAAAATAAAATATTTTTTTAAAAATAAAAGTAGGCCAGGTGTGGTGGTGCACATTAATCCCAGCACTCAGGAGGCAGAGGCAGGCGGATCTCTGTGAGTTCAAGACCAGCCTGGTCTGCATAGTGAGTTCCAGGACAACTGGGGCTACAGGGAAACCCTGTCTCAAAAAGACCCAAATAAAAACTAAATAAATATAAAAAAAATAAAAATAATAAATAGAATATTTAAAAAGAAAAGCTGGGTATGGGAGGACACATTTGTAGATTCAATGCTGTGGAGCTGGAAACAGGAAGATCCCTCGGCCCTGCTGGTTAGCTAGCCTCCTCTACGAGGCAAGTTCTAGGCCAGTGAGAGACCCCGTCTCAGAAAAAAAGCAGATGGTACCTAAAAGGTAGATGGCACCTAAGGAATGACACAGAGGTTGTCCTCTAACTTCTATACACACACACACACACACACACACACACACACACATGTGCATGTGCACATGCATACACATATGAACCCATACACACACATATATACACACAAAAGAAAAGATTAAAGGAGCTCATAGATGATCTCACAGTGCAGAAAGCAACACAGAAGAGATACATGTCTAATCGTTTGTCTTTAATTATGGGCAACGCTAAAGGAGTTTTTGTGGTCATAACACTAAGCCTCGACTGATACATGCCTAACTGCAACTATCACATCTCCCTGTGTGCATGAGGCTGTGGCTCAGTTGGTAGAATATTTTCCCACCACACATGAAGCTCTGAGTTCAATCCTCAGCCACAAATAATCCTGGCATGGTGGCACATTCCTGCAACATCAGTAGCACTCAGGAGGTACAAGCAGAAAGATCAGAAGTTGAAGGTCATCCTTAGCTACATAGCAAGTTGGAGGCTGCCGTGGGATACATGAGACCATCTCAAAAATAAAATGTATAAGCACTGCTCCACCTCTAGTAGGGTGTTTTATGGTGTTAGTTTCAGCCCAGATCTAAAAATTTCTGGATTCTAAAAGTAATTGGACCCTAAGAATTTCAGAAGCCTATAAACCTGTCCTCTGGTGTGGCT